ATTCATATATATATTTATTTATTGTTATGTCGACACACATACTCGTAAATACAGAAAACATTGAAATACTTACACACATACATAGATAGATAGAGATATTCGTGTTTATGTATAAATATATGAAATGTTTACAATGTCGCTGTTAGTTCGTGATTTTCACTAAAACTTATCATACAAAGAAATTATATTATATTTACAAAAGTTTTTCTTCCCTTTATATACATACATATGTGGGTATAAATTTTTAATTAGTTTTATGAAAAGAATTAAAAATAGCAAAATATTATTAAGTATTGATATTGCATGATTCAGATTGTTCACCAGTTCTTCAGTGAAAAGTTCAGGTATATAGATATATATGTATGTAGAGCTGTAGGGCATACAATAGTGGATAGATTGAAATAATTTATTTTTATAGTAGAAGCCAAAATGTTATATTCAAACATTAAAATTTCTCATAAAACGTGTATGTAATTTTTATATAATTTTGCAAAATTTTTCGTCTATCAAAAACTCATTCGCTTATATTATATTATTTATTGCTTCATATATTATTTATTGCTTCATATATATTGTAAGAAATATAAATATTTTATATAAAAATTTTATTTTTTAACTTTTTAATCTTCGTTACGTTGAAAACGAAAATACATATATATTTATAACTATTAATTGCAATTTCCTCGCTGACTATAAATTTCTGTGATGCATAAAATCACCGTTAAAAGTTTTGTTTGGTAATATGTAAATGCGTTAAAATGCAACTAAAATTAATAACTACGGCGTAATATTTGTTGGCCTTCATTAATTTGTGTACTTAAACGCTTTGTGCAATACGTTTATGCATATGCGTATGTATGTATGTATGCACAGTTCTATTCACCTTTATATGTTTATATCTTTTTTTTTTAATTCCATATTAATATATATTTTTTTAATATCGTGGCAAGTTGCTCTGAATGTTACCGAATATTTATAATAGTTGCAAAGCTGTTGGTTTATTTTCAAGCAGCACAAGTTTCTTTATTTTCCATTCGACACCGTTAGATATACATATAATATTTCATTATAGTAATTTACTTTACAAAGTACGATGAGGCTTAATATTCGCGTTGGTCCAGCATAAGCACATAAGTTCGCTCTCTCTCTCTCTCTCTAATTTACAAATTACAGTAAATTTACATATTTACTTTGCTATTAGAGATTTGGTTTGTATGTGTTGTATGATACTAATAGGCTGGTTAAAAAATAATTAATTAAATTTAATATATTATTGAAAAATATATTAACCAATTTTGTAGCCTTTTGAAGGAAATGTAAATTATTTAAAAAGAAAATTAAAATTTTTTAAAAAGAAAAAGTTGAAAAAAATTAAAATTACTGAAAAGAATAAAAATAATTTAAAAAAAATAAAATCATTTAAAAAGAAAAAAAAATTTAAAACTAAAGAAGAAAAAATTAAAATTATTAAAAAAAAAACAAAAATTATTAAAAAGAAAATAAAAACTAAAAGTATATAAAAAGGAAAAAATTAAAATTGTTTAAAAAAGATAACACATTATAAAAAAAAAGTATTCAAAAAAAATAAAAGTTATTTAAAAATAAAACAATTAATAACTAAAAGCATATAAAAAATATAAAATTTTTTGAAAAAATTATCATAAAGAAAATAAAAGCTAAAAGTATATAAAAAGAAAAAATTTTAATTATTAAAAAAAGTAAAAAAAAAATTATTAAAAAAAATTATATAAATTCGTTTATAAAAATTAAAAACATGTAAAGAGAAAAAACTAAAATGATTAAAAAAAAAATAAAAATTATAACAAAAATTAAAAATTATTTATAAAGAAAAAATTAATAATTAAAAAAATCTTATGTATTGAAAAATTTAAATATTTCAAAGCTTAAATTGTATTTTTTCATACTTATTTTAAGCAACACTTTAATAGAGCTTTCTTAAACTTTGTTTAGAACGGTACTTGCCGAGCATAAAATTGTGCTTCAAGCTTATTTGCAGTGGTGCCTTTAATTCTTTTATTTAAGAGCTTTCATTTGCTTCAAAATTTTTTTAAAAAATTAATTGAAAATATTAAACAAAAAAAAATTAAAAATATTTAAAGAGAAAAAAATATTTAAATAGAAATTTAACTGTTTCAGAGCTTTGAATTGCATTTTTTTCGTACTAACTCTCAACAACACTTTTAAATAATATATTTAGTATGCCTCAAAGATGTTACAAGCTTGTTGAGCTTTGAACTCGATACAATTTTATATGCTTTTATTTTGAAAATACTTTGAATACGCTAAGTTAGTTTTTAAGATATTTCAGTATAATAAAAATATAGCTTTACGGGAAAGCTTTTAAACTGTGAATTCGAGAGTTGCTTTTAACAGAAAGCTCTTCGGTGTATTTAAGCAACGAAATGTTGTTATTTAACTCAACATTCGATTATCTAAAAATTTTAAAGACAGTCACAATTACACCTTTTTTTATGAAAACTTGTCCTTCAAATTTCACTATACAACTTTTGAAAACTTGGAGCTTTGAAATAGTACTGCTTTCTGACTGCACAGTAGCTGTTTCAATTATAATGTGAAAGCATACCATTTCATTATAACATTTTCTCTGAAGCTTTCACAATTTTAAAATAAATTTCGGAGAAGCTTTCACCAAATAAAAAGCTTAGTTTTCAAATAAATAGGGAAAATTGTGCATTTTGCTTGCCAAAAATTTTTTAAAACAGTAGTTTGTATTGATTTTAAAAGCACACATAAATCTCGTTCATTCTGTATTTGAAAAAATTGTTTTTTAATAATTTTTGATATATCATGCAATAAAATGGTTTACAAATTTTGTGTTGTAGTGAGAACATAATGTACGAACTTAACTACTGCTTACTATTTTAGATGTATATATTTATAATATTATTTTTAATAAATCAACTGTTTAACATATAAACACACACGCCAAGCTTCTACATAAAATCGGGCCATAATTTTTAATTGTTTATATATATATATATATTTGTGTGTGTGTGTTTGTATAGGCATAAATAATAAAGTTTTATTTTAAATTTTTACAGAAGCAGTTAGTTTTTAGTTTATAATATGAAAATTGTAGTACTATGTGTATATGTATATGTGTGATGCTTACTATTTAAATTAGTTATACATTTTTCGCTTACGACTTGTTAATTTTACACATGGTTCTCTTTAAATACATTTAAAACTTGTTATAATACATAAATAATTTTTTATTTATTTTATAGTTAATATAATTTACATGAAAATATTTCTTAAAATTAATACATACAAACTTACATAGTAAATTGTATAAATAATTGTATTAAAAAAAAAAAAACATTTTTATACAAAAAAAATAATAATAATTTATTTTTAACCAAAAAAAAAAATAATAATCATAAAAATTATGTGTTTGCTTAACACAACCAAAAAATATATTTGCTTATATATACATACTTGAATTACATCACATTTGGTAAATATTGCAATGGCATTCGCCGTTTTGTGTCACTGTCGCAGTTGTTGTTTACATTTTTTTTTTCAATTTTTTTTTCAATTTTTTTTTTTTGTGTTTATTGATAAAGAAGAACGAAACAAGGAAATACAAAAGTGCCTACACACAATCATACTCACACACACGCGCATACATGTGGGCAAAATTTTGTGGGTGTGTAGGTAAATTGATGCTGAATTTCGGCAATTTAAATATTATTTGTGGGACGTGTGCAGAAAACAAAAACAAAAATTCATATATATATGTTGCTGTGAGAAAAACATGATAAGACTTCAGCAAATAAGTAAGTTTTACGATCCTTAAATCATTTGGAAATTTTCCCAAATAACTTAAAGGGAATGCAAAACGGCGAATGACCTCATCATACGAAATGCGTGCGGTTTCATAATAATTTGAAAAAAAAAATATACTCGTATATATATATATTTTTTTTTAGTATGTATGTGTAGAAAAGTGTGCTTAAAAGCACAACTTAACTTTACATGCACACAATAGCAGCAGCAACAGTAGCAGTAGCGACAACAATAACACTGTTAGGTACCATGTTCCTTATATTTATATACATATATATATTTACTAACCTTAAATTAAATACAACAAATTAAAAAATAATAATAATAATGAGGTTTTTAATTTAATTTTATGCCTGTATTTTTTCATATTTAATATAAAATGGATTTACGATTATAACAGCAGCAACAAAAAAAAAAAAACAATACCATAACAACAGCAACAATGGCTTAAACATTAATACATTCCAATACGTACACTTCTTTCATGTATACAATACATTTTTTGCTTAATTTTTTTATTAATTTTTTTTTATATTTTCAGCTTATCAGGCAACCTCGACTCGAGTGCGAATTTAACGTCTCACTCATGAGTTCCCACGCCAACTTTGGTAGATTTTTTATTGTGTTTTTTTATTTCATAAAAATTTGCTTATCAAAATTCAACTTAAAAGCATCCTGCTCAGCTTTTTTTACTTCACCGCTTTTCCTTTAGATACAAAGATTCTTTACTAATGCCTTAAGCTTCCAATGAAATTTGGAATTTTATTCAATTCAGCTTACACTTGAAGGTTAATGTGTTTAACATAATATTTTTTACATTTCTTTAGCAGAGCTTTCACCTTTTATTGGGTTATGAAAATTGGCTGTGTCAAATGGTAACACCTATTCCTACTTCCGCCTACCCAAATATTTTTATTGTTTCATTTGTGAAGCTTTCATAATTTTCTAAGCTTTTATAATGCACTGAATGCATTATATATGTTTTTGAATAATTCAATCCTTAAGCTTACACTTTTGATACAGAAAATTAGTTGAAAGCATTTCACTGTGTTTTATATACTATTTTTTATGTTTCTTCAGTAGAGCTTTCACATTTTTAATGTAATGAAAATTAACGCAGTAAAATAGAAATACTTTTCCACATGCCACCTGCTCATATATTTTGTATGTTTCATGTGTTGAGCTTTCATATCTAACAAAGCTTTTATAATGCACCGAATGCAGTAAATATATTTTTAAGTGCATGTTGATTTAAAACAGCTTATAACCCAAACATGGTAAAAAACATCAAATTACAGCGTTATTTAATTTTTTTCTGTACTTTCATAATAAACTGAAATTATTGAAATAAAGATGTTCGCATAAGCTTTAAGCATGCTTGTGTTTCGAAACTTTCAAATTGCAATTGTGAAAACTGAGTGCAATCAATATTTTTTGATTAATTTTTTGTTCGATTTCTTTAACCGCACATACATATATATTTTGTAAAAGTCTTATACATGTATATAGTTTTCATATTTTACTAAGCTTTCACAGTGACCTGAAATCAATAAAGCTGCATTGCATTAGATTCAGCCACCAGAATTTTTTAGAGCTTATAAATTTTTTGTTTTGAAAAAATTTCCATTTGCAGAGCTTTTACAGTTAAGTTAGATCAATCAAATTAACTGCAACGATATAGCTTCATCAGCGGAGCTTTCACTTTTTACTAACATTCCGGCATTTACTTAATTAATAAAGCTGTTATATTTATTTTTTACTAAGCCAATTGCTTTAAAGTGATTACTGGTGTTTTGAATAAATACCATTTGAAGAGCTTTCAATTTCAACCAAGCTTTTATTCTCTAATAAGCTTTCACAGTGAAAGAGTTTTTCAATACACATATTTATAACGCTGCAATATTAATTGCTTTCCGTATCAGTTTAAGACTTAAAGCTCTAAAAGCTCTCTGCTCAACTTTGCCTGTGCAAACTTTTTTAAACAATAGAAAGAACATTAATTCACACATTAGTAATATTCAGCGAGTTTTGTTGCTTACTTATTGCATGGAGCTTTCGTTAACCGACTTTTTCATTGAAACTCTATTAAAATATGACCCCGCCATTTGGCGCACTTTTCGCAGTCTCCCAAACTTTACTACCTTCACGAACACGTCAAACCTTTCTATTTTCTAGCTGTTTATTGTATTGTACTAAAAAAAATTCTACTAAGTTTTATTGCAATGGTCACTATTTCACTAAGCTTTGATCTAATTCATTTTATAACTGATTTTTTCTCTTCTTTTTATATTTGTATTTTTGTGTGTGATTTGTACGAGTGCTCTTTGAAAGAAAAAAAACGCTGCTCACAAGCAGTATATAGCTTTTTACGCACTTAATATAACTAACCCTGATGATTGTTACCCAAAAGCTTTCGAAAATTCCATTTTCCCAACAATTTCCGCGCTCTTAGCAATTGAAAATATTTAATTCTGTTGCTTAAGGCGGGAAATATCAAATTGATTATTTATTATGTGCTAGCTTTGGCCTTCATTTGACTTTCGGGAAATGCAGACCACAGACGGAAAAGCAGCGGTTGTTGCTCTTCATTCCTGGTGTCACGATTTAAACGCCAATTGGCTGGTAGCCACCAAAAGGTGGACACTTCTGTGGGATCTTGATCTGGTGTTATGGCAAGATCATCTGTTGTTTTCAGATTTGCGCTCGCTGTTGTTGTTATTGCTGTTGCTGTTGCTGCTGTTTCTTTTAATGTATTTGTTGTTGTTGCTCCTACGGCTGTTGCCGCTGACGGGTTAACTACATTATTATCATCGAAGTGATCGATGCGTATAATTTTGCTATTTCGACGACTTGGCAATTCAAATTTGTTGTGATTGTGATTGTTGTTGTTGTGCTTATTATTATGTTCATCAAATCTAGTGTTTTCACTAAAACTAATACTACTATCGCTAATACTACTACTACTGCTACTACCAATACTACTAACTGTTACACTCTCTGCAATTTCCTGTGTTGCTGTTGCTGCCGCCGCTACTTCTCCACCAAAACCAAATATAGGCATAATACGCGACCAAAGTGTTGTCGCGCCGGTTCCTTCTACAACATCCACCGTTCCTTCTACGGTCTCGGTCTCGTAGTCTGGTTCTGCGCTTGTTTTTGTCACCAACTCGTTGCCCGTTGTCGATGTCTCAGCAGCAGCAAACTTAGAGTTTTCAACTGTCGTTATTGTGGCCTCACTTGACTGATTTACACTTTCCATTTTAGCTGTTGTTATTTTTGTGTTTGTTGTTGTTGTTGTAAAAATATCACTGGACGCGGATGCTGGCGTTGGAACCAAAGTAGTAGTGCCTTCAACTGCTCGTACATTGTCCGTTGTTGTTGTTGTTGTTGTTGTTGCACCAACAACACCTTGCCGCACCTCAACCGCAACCTCGCCACTTGCACTCACAGCACCCAGCTCACCCGCTGCCGCTCTTGTGTCTGCAGATTTCTGCACCTCAAGTGCAGAATTGGTTTCGCTTGCAATTGTCAGTTGCGTTGAGCTATCTAGTAGTGGTGGTGCCCTTGTTGTTGTTGTTGTTGTTGTTGCCGATTCTGTTTCTGTTGTCTTTATAGCTGCCATTTTTGTCGCGGCCAACTGTCGATTGCCCTTCACCAATTCATTAATCATTCGCAATTCTTGTTCGATATTCACTTCTGCCGCCGCGGGCTCACGGCGTTTTGGAGAATTTTTGTTATTTTCTTTACGCTTGTTGTTCAAGTCATTATTGGTGTCGCCGTTAATGCTGTTACGGCTGGCAGCGACAACATTCACTAAATCGTCGTTATTGCCACTCCTCGGCACATCACTCACAGCCTCTCCACTACCAACGGCGTCGTCGTTTAAACTTGTTGTTTTCGTTGTTTTTGTCGTCGTCATCTCCGCGCCCGCTTGGTGTGTGCTTGCGAACTGTTGCGGGACGGTTGTGGCGACAACGACCGGGACTTGTTTACTCGTAACTGTGTGTATGGCAGTGACAGCGGCGGATGCGACGGTGGGTGTGCTGCGAAACCGGTACGTGCTTGGTGTGCTGTTGGCGGCTAAGATTGATTTCGCAGTTGTTGTTGTTGCGATTATTAGCGAAGGCGCAGTGGCTGCACTGGTGGGTAACGGTTGTGGTGTTGTTGTTGTTGCTGCGCTCAGTTTGCTGTTGGGTTTCACGGTTTCTGCCGCTGTTTCGGTCTGTGTTGCTGTTTCGCTGATTTCATTTGTTGTTGTCTTGGTCTCGATTTCGGTTGTAGTTGTTGATGTTTCTGTTGTGGTGGTTTCTTCATTAACTGCACTTAAAAGCACATCTGCCGTTGGCACGTCTTTCAACTTTTCGACTTTCGATTTCTGCCCCTCCAAATGTTGCTGCCTTAAAATCGCCTCTAGCAAGGTGTCCCTACTTGTCGGCAATGCCGCGTCGGCGTCCCCAGCACTCACCTCGACAACTGTTGTTTCATCAATTTGAAAATTTGTTGTGCCCTCCGGCTCGGTGGTGGTTATGAAACTCGTCTCCTGCGCATCCGTATCGGTTGAAGAGGAAATAGCATCAGCAGTCGCGGTGCTCTTCTGTGTCACGTTGCGTGGGTGCTCATCTTTCGCCATGCTTACTGCTGGTCTTTTCGCTGTTGCACGGCCTTCAAATGTGGATACTCTTGTCGTTGTTGATGCTCTTGTTGTTGTTGTTGTTGTAATGTAAGGAGCCACACTGCTCAAGGGCAAAAGTGCATCGGTGCGTAAAAATTGGGCAACGGTATGTGGTTGCTGATGTGCGGAGGCCGCTATTAAGTCGCCACCAGCAGCAACACTATCACCGCCTATGCGGTTATCGCTTGCTGGTTGCTGTGCAATTACCGTTGCAAGCAGCTTTATACTATGCTCATCCTTGAAAAGTGATATATGCTGCGGTTCAAGGTCAACATCAGCACTGCCCCCTTCGCCCTCATCACCGCCGCCACTGATTGTTTTCACTGTGGTACCTGGGCTCACGGCAGGCAATATAATCGCATCGATGTCGTCGACAGAAAACGCCGATACATTGCTACCAGCGGCATGTAAATCGTCGCTCGGTACCTGACGGTCGGTGCTGTTGCCATTCACAATGCGATTGTTGTGGTCGGTGCTATTAGTGTTGTTGGTGCTAATGATTGCGGCCGCCAAAGTTGCATTATTGTCCGCATCACCACCTGCGGCATGGCGTTGAAAGAACCCCTGCACTGCATCTAAAAACAGTGATGAATTAAAAAATGTTGCACCAGCATCATTGTCATTGCCAGCTTCATCGATGCGCTCACCTTCAGACCCATTCGTGGGGGCCAGCAGCTCTGGAAATGGTCGTGCGCTACCGCTACCCTCCATAGCGTTGCCACTACTTAAATCCGCTTCATAATCATTTGTTGGAAATTTTTGCTCAAACAGATTGAATTTCAACGGTTCATCGCGTACAGGTGTGTGCTGTGTATTACTTGGTCCAGCAGCTGTACCAACACTACCGACACCACCACCACCACTATTGAAGGGCTGCGGCACATCGAACAACATTACCGATTCACCTTCCCCTTCGCCCAAACCCAAATCATACTCTTCATCGCCATAATCGAATTCATATACATTCGCACCACCTGCCGTCCCAGCAGCCGCACCGCCAGCCGCCTCAGCGCCAACAAACAAGCCGAGCACTTGTTGTGTCAACAAATCGCTCTGATTGATGTTAACGGTTGGTATGCAACGCGACTGAAATAGCTGATGGCCGGGCGGACAATCGCGAAACGGTAACGAGAATATCGATTTCGGCGTAACTTTACGCGATTTCTCCAGCTGACGCTGTTCGGGCGGCAACATGAGCCACGCCTGCCAGGCAAGATTTTCAGCGGTGCCCTCGATGGGCTTCGACGTGATCGGCAATGCTACGGCGGCGTATGACCGACGTGTGGACGGTGGCAATAGCAGTGGTAATATGCATGCGAGCAACAACACCTGCAGAGTAGGTATATTCCAGCAATGCATTGTTGTTGTTGTTCTGCTCGTTGTATGACTATGTGAGTGTTTGACTGTTGGTGGTGTTGGTTGTGTTGGTGTGGTCGTTAAATCTACCGTTTTTGCGTGTTGTTGCATTGCTCTTGACTTAGATCGGTTACATATAGGTGTTGTTATTGTTGTTTTTATGGTTGTTGATATTAATTTGGTCGCTACTGGTATTCTGGTAATCATGGCATGGGATCTTGTGCAGCGTCTCGAATTGTGGTATCATTAAAGTCTCTTGTACAACATTTAATTGTTTTGTTTTGTTTTTTTTTTTAGCGAGAGTTAACTCTTGGTTACATGTGCACATATGTGTTGTTGGTGTTGTTGTTGCTAGCCGTTTAAAATGCTTGAAAGTTGCACTATCTGCAATGTAAAAGAATAAGAGAGAGCAAATTGTTTATATTTAGAATTCAGATAATTTTTTTTCTGTTTATTTTATTGGTTATAATGCAATTTAATTAGTCGTATGAGGTTTTGTTCTAGTTTACTAGTGACATAACGGTGTAGCTACGTTCTTAAGAAAACGGCACTTAAGTGCTTGTAATAGATGATTAAAAAAAATGGTTTGAAAAATCTAGTTGTTAGTGTTGGCTTACAAGGGTTATACTGGATATACGGTCACTTGTAAAAATTTATTTATTTTTATGACAGTTTAATGCACAATAATTAATTCATAAATTAATACAGCAACTGCGAGTTATTTTGTGATTTTTAGATTTTAAGTTTAATTATTCAACAGAAAACATGTGAAAAAATTAACACTTGTAAAATTAAATTAAATTAAATTAAGTAAAATTTTGCAAAAAATTAAAAAAGTGAAATTTTCAAAAAATTCTAAAGAAGGCTTGCCTAAATTTTGAGGTAAAAAATAAAACCACAATTGTTTTTAGTTAAGTTTAAAACTCACACTTCTACTTATAATAATTTAAAAAATTTATGGCACCACAGAGTTCACGTTGGATTAATTAAGATATAAAAAATCATGATTTTGAGACAAAAAAAAATGTATCACGTAGTTTCCGTGAACTAAATAAACTCCAATTAAAAAAAAAATATTGTTAAAAAAAGCGTTAAATCTGAACACCACATATTTTCACACGGCTGCATCATAACAATATATAACACGTTAACCGAAAATTTTCAATAATTTCGGTTAAAACATTTGGAAATGTTATCCTTGCAGCAAAAATCAAATTAAATTTTACTCCATTTTTAACCGAAACTAGAAAGGTGTTAACAGACAATGTTTTATCGTTAACAGATAATTTTAATCGTTAACAGATAATGTTAAGGTGCTAACGGACAATGTTTAATCGTTAACAGATAATTTTAACTGGTTAACAGCTAATGTTAAATCGTTAACAGCAAATGTTAACTGGTTAACAGCTAATGTTTAATTACTAATAGTTTATGTTAACTGGTTAACAGCTAATGTTAAATCGTTAACAGCTAATATTAAGAGTTAAAATTGAAGTGTGCTGCTAATATCATAGCCAACAACCATTGTATAAAAAACATTCCCGCTGAAGTTGTGCGGTAACAACATTAACAATTTCTTTTCGTTTCGATAACATGACGCCGAAATGAAACGAAATAACTTCATTAAGCAAATATCTCATATTGGCAATACGAAATTATGACTTTACTTTACTGGAATATCTCTGTTTCCACCAAAATTTGAAGCTTTAGAGTTAAAATCTGCAAGCTTGCTTATTGTTTAAAACAATAAATCTCTGCTAGACCGTAACAACAAAGTCCTTCTCTCTAATACCCTCTATAAAACCAAGAAGTATTTCAAGAATCCAGTTATGACGCGTCAAATTTTGACATATTACAATAGAAAGCTCCAAAGACTATATCATCTGAACCATAATACATGCCTAATGAAATATCCACAAAGAACTGAATATTCGCACAATCAAAATAAAAAAAAAAATAAAAATTGTAAAAAAAAATTAAACAAAATCTTTTGAAAAACGAATGAGAATTTTCTTTTTTGCAATAAAATATTTATTTCTTCGTCTATGTTTCGGAGACTTTGCACTTGTGCCCAACCCCGAGACATTTCTCCAACTCGATCCTTGAGTTTTCTCAGCCATGTGCTTTTAGTGTTATCCCCGGCTGTGAGGCGAATTTTAAGATAAACTTTATTTTAGTTAATAGAAACTGGTCATAAGGAGCTTTGTCTGGCGAATATGCAGACTGGGACATTGTTAAAGTATAAATTTTTAGTCGAAAATTCACGAACCAGCAAAATGTACGCGTTTCATACCCAAAACATTGTAAGGAAAGGTCATAACATATCTAATATCATCAGCGACTTCTGCAATTGCGATTCGGCAATCACTTGCAACCGTTTCTTTCATATTTTACACGTCTTGTCGGTTGTTGTTGTGCTGGCGCGTCCTCCAGCACGTTCGTCATCTTCGACGTGTTTCCAACCTTTTTCGAAACAATTTCTTTACTCATAACTACCCTACATTATTTGGTCGACTTATGTCTTTGACGATATGCATGTCTTATAATAATTACTCGGTATATCCGTGGTGTGTGCAGATTTAATTTTTAAACTGATAATGTCCAATCAGCTTATTGACGGTGGACTTATATTTACACAAAACGCTGGATAGAACCTCATATGCAATATTAAGAGAATTTTTCCACGGTGGGTATTTGGATTGGGCAGAGCACAATTAGGTTTCAATCATTGGGTATGCTTTCATCCGACCATAGAAGCTGATGCATGCCCCTCATCAGTTCTTCATCGCCGTTTTTGAACAGCTCGGCATGCAGTACATCAGCCCTCTTTGCTTTTTGGTTTTCAAGCAGGCGATCGCTATTTGAACTTCTGCATAGACGGGCAATGAAACATCTGTTGCATCATCGTCTATTTAGCCTACTTAGAACAGGCTGGAGAAATGTTCCCCCATAAACCCAGCATACTGTGGGCGTCAGTAACTAGACCACTTTTATATGACCTTTAAATGTCGTTGTATTTGGCTATATCAATTACTTAGTTTTGAAGTTGATTTAGTATGATTTGTCTTAAGTAAGAGAGAGCAACTTTGACTCTTCTGCTTCAAATAGTCTCTCATAAGACATCTACAAAACTCTTTGACATTTAGTACTTGTCAATAGAATGACTGATCTAAACCAGCTGTTGCATTTCAGTTTTCTGCACTTTTATTCATTGAATTTTTTTTTCATTTCAGTCTCCTCAAGAGATAAAAAAAAAAAAATTAACAGATTTGCTCAAAAAAAAAAGAAGTCAAACTTAGAATTAAGGGGAAACAGCAACTTTTCATCATCAACGTCAACAGCTGTTTACTCACATACATACATATGTACGTATTTCCTTTAAAATTGAAAAAACAACAATTCGAACAGAACCAACAGCAGAAAAGCACAAATAAAGTTTCTTTGAGTGTCAAAACATATGTACATTCTTATTGACTTTCATCTCTCCGCCTTTCTTTAATATCACATATGCACTATAAGCTCAGGGTATTATTTTCAAATAAGTCCATATAAAATTGACTTTATCGTTTAAATAAATAATTATATTTTATAAAATCTATATTGCATTTGAGTGTATGAAATTTAGTATATCCAAATGTATATTTACATATGCATATTTATATATATTTTTAATATATTGCCAATAAAGAAAAGAGTATTCAATAAGTTTTGTTTTTCAAATAACTAATATTAAAAATATAAAAATGAAAAGAAAATCAAAATAAAATATTGTCAATGAATTTTATTAGATAAAAATATTTTTTTCATCAAAAAATAATCAATGATTTTGTTCATCCAAAAAATATTTTTTCCTTTTTTTTTAAATGATAGAAGCATTTGATCTAACAAAATTTTTCGCAGCCACTAATACTATAACATATATATGTATATATGTAATCTTACATATAGAGCTACCCCATTTTGGGGTTTTAAAAGTATAGTGCTTTCTTTGGTAGCTGTTAAACTTAACTGTCAAACCAAACATTTATTGTTTGTGTTAAAATTGTTTAAACCGGCTACAGAAATGATGATTCCGACGTGGCCAAGCTTTGTGCCTTAAGAGGAGACTATCGCGCATCTAATCCTCTAACCTCGCAGCAGCATGCAATTAATGAAATTTTGAGAGACTGCATGAGTTGCATACATATTTTTGTAACCTCTGTGTACCTTTTGCTCCTTCACCCCCTCAAATATCGCTTATGCGAGGGAAAGTGTAGACGAGGACCTGTGTGTAATAATTTTTCAACGTTCTCAAGAGCTGGGACTTTTTTACGGCACATTATAGCATATTTTGTACTTGAATTAATCGAGAATCCAGCTCGCACAAAAACTGAAGTTCATGCTGGAACAACAGACAGTGGACGGCTGGTTCTCGTACAAAATGTTTTTCAAGGAAGAGGCACAATTCTTCTTCAGGGGTACGCAAGTAAGCAAAATTGTCTCACTTTGGGTTAAGAGAATTAAAAACTAATTGAAAAAAAAAAAATCCTACTAGTTAAAAAAAATTCCTAGATTATTGAAAGAAAATACCCACGGTCTGTGACGCTCTTTGGACCGAAGGTGTAATTAGACCTTACTTCTTTAAAAACGGAAAATTACAATACGGAGTATTATAGTCGCATCATAGCCGACTTTTTGAAAGACATCTTGGACAATATGTGGTTTCAACAAAATGTTGCTCAATTGCGAGATAAATTTCACGGCCACTTAATCTCTCGTCTTTACTATGTCAATTCTCATTTTATGTGGAACTACATCGCGACCGTGTTTACATGCAATTGGAAACCAATCTTCGTCAAGTTATGGCTGGGATGCCGCACTATATGTGTCAAAACTTATTCGAACATTGCCTCAAATGGTTCGAAGAGCGAAAAATTCTGTAGACAGTCAATTGAGTGATGTAGTCTTTCACATATAATGTTAAGGTTCAAATTTTACAACAAAAAAGAAATTTAAAGAAAAAAAAATATTTTATATTTATTTCATTTAAATTTATTTTCAAAATCGCAAAATGACTTAATTTTTTGTTTTCAAGCTAAAACAAATGATTTTTACTACTGGGTATATATATTTATTAAGCTTGCCATATACATACAATGCACTCGTTAAACAACATTCTAGTTCTCACATAAAAATACAACTACATTCAATTACTTAACTGTATACCTTACACTCAAGCCAACAGAGTAGTATATTAAAAGTTCGTAAGCTGCTATAAATGAAGGCAGAGTATTAAGGTGGTTCAATAATAGTATCACGTAGTAGCAGAATGTGAAATTTCAATTTTCAAAGAAATTTCTAATCGATAAAATATATATTCCTTTCAACAATAAATAAGAGGGGGT